ATTGCTACGTAGACCGTGTCTTCGACATAAGCTGTTCGGACAGATTTATGTTAGTAATATGACAATATCAACAGTATGATTAAATAATATTCTGCACTTTACCCAAGGATAACCATACACCTTCAGTACAGCGCTGATAATAAAAGACAATTGAGTTAATATTCGCTGGTTTTAACCATTATACGAATGGATAAAGGAAATCAGATTTACCATAGCGGAGCCATCAAAACTCGTACCAATAAAATGGTTGAGCAGATACGATTTGCCACAAGATTGTTCGCCCATACTAGAGACAACCTTCACCGGTTTATTACGAAGGTATTTGAAAATTGCTTCATACCAATCAAACGAGATTGATTTACTGACTTCTTCGGCATTGTTCCCATCTTCAAATTGAATAGCTTTTGCTGATTGTAGACCATTACGCAGAATAATAAAGTCGCCCCTCTTTGCCACAGCAATTTGGATTGGTATTAATGTACATAGTCGAATAATCCAGCTATTAAAATAATACAATATTATTCAATGGTCAGAGGGACAAACACTGGACGGATTCAACCTCCGAAATAAAATGTATGTCTTTCGAGTAGCTTCAACTCACCTGTCAGCTTGATAGCTTGGGGCTTCCAAAACATTATCATTAAATAAAATATCGCCAAGTTTCTTAGTACTAATAGAGTAGTTGTTTAAAGATGTGGTATCTTTTTTTGTTGTTTTCTGAAGGTTATCAAAACTCCTTCTTATGTATCTGTCATATTGTTGTTGAAGTTGCTGTACATTTTCCGAAGAATTCTCTGCCAGATCCAATGCAATGGTAAGTTTCATTGAATTTGTACCATCATTTATACACGGCTGTATGGGGTACTTTGTATAAAGCAACGAATAAATATCGAGGTAACCATTCGATCTCGTTGCCACGTCTATACTGTATTCTCTCCACGCATTGGAAACCAACGCCGGTCGAAAACCACCATCCCCAACGCGCAAACGAACATTATCGAATATGCTAATGACGGGTTTTCTTTCACGCCTAATAACAATGTAGTGGCCCTCTTTTACATTTTGAATAAATTGCGTATTAAGACCATGCACAATCGACGTATCATTTTGATCAATTCTGACTTTTCCCACATTCCTTTCTTGGACATCTTTTCTGATTTGGTATTGACTAGTAACCGTAACCTTTGCTGAAATCAACGTGTTGAGTGCTAGATCTACTGTGACTAAATGCTGCTGAATGTTCTCAAATGATGTGAATTTACAATGGGACAACCATTGTTCAGGTAATGGAATATCAACTTCGAATGGTCTGTTTCGTGTACCCACGCCTACAAAGTATACAAGCGCTTGTACTGGACTTGAATTGATATCCATTAATTCAGACTCTTGTTCATCCGCCTGGCTTATGTCTCGCTTATACTGCGGCGTTTTGAGCACAAATATACAGGAACCATCAGGTGAACTGGAAACGGATACCGCATCAGCAGGAAATCTTTCAAACGCTTTGAAATAATTACTGTCCAAATCGTAGGTATGCGATTGTCCGTTTTGTTCAACGAAACAAAGTGTTACGGTGTTGTTGATCCATACGAGATGTTTAACTGCTGACAGCGAATAAAAACGTTTAATATTTGGGTATTGAAGATACACAATATTTTTGTCTTTGCTGAAATTGTAAACGTCAAGCTAAATA